ATATCCACTCTTGTTGCATAAACTACTATTTTAATTTTAAATAAGTAAAAAAGTTACGTCAGTAGAAATTAAGAAAGATTATTTAACAATAGGTTTTAAGCCGTCGCATGAATCTGAAAAGTTTACTGTTGCCAATTTAAAACGCTCTACAAGAAAAAGATCAGAAATTAGTCACAAAATGTTCCCCGATCCCACATTATCACAAGTGCAACCCGAAATTCCTTAATCAAAAAATGATGCAATATCAAATATGCTACCCTATATGCCCAACAAGACCGAGAATATTATGCAGCTGCGTTTCTAAACGAGAAAAATGAAGAAAAACGAAAGGAAAGGAAGGTCACAAAATCAAAGGCAAATAAATTAATCAATTTTTGCTTTTTCAAGTTTTACTTAATTTTCAGAAAGTTTGTTTTGATAGTTTTTCCTAGTATTATACTATATTGTTTGTTTATTAAACCAATAAGGTCCTATGTAAGCCAGTATGTATTTAAACATATACATTTTTCTAAAACAAAGTTCTATGTTTAATTTTTTAATTGACTATATCTTAATTTAATTAACATTGTTTATTTAAAAATAACTTGACAGTTTATTCAAATTATAGGTTTGTTCCAACAGCGAATCTGATCATCAGAAGGACGTCAGACGCATGCGCATTTAAAATAGTCCGTTCCTACAGAGCCACGGATGATCCGATGAACTGTCAGTAAAACGTTCCAACGTATTTTCTGATTCGTACATGAATGAGTCGGCGGATTGTCAAAACGATCAGAGCTTCATCGCTTGTACAATTTATCAGCACATGCGCATTTGAACGTCTCTTCTCGTTCGTGATATTTTTTTGTAATTGTTGGGATTTTAAGTTAGCTTGGAGTGGCTTGGGTTTCTATTGCTTTTAATTGAAATGAATAATTTTTGTTCTTATCTTGTGTGCGGATTTTTTTTGTAAAATGCGTACTTATTTTTAATAAAAATAAACAATCTTAATGTTTCAAAATTATACATTCACATGAGCGTTCGAGACAGCTAAATAAATGTATGTTGTTGTATTTTAAATAATTTTAAAATACCAATTGACCAAACATAATATGTTTGGTTTGTCAAATTCCATTGCATTTTGCGTTCCAACAAGGACAAGTCGCTGATTAAACAACGGAAGAATAAACGGGCTGACATGCGCAGTGATTAGTTTACGAATGCATCCATGCACGAGTCAGAGACACATCAAAAAGGCGCTGTTGGAACAAACCTTATGTCTTCAATTACCTTCCACTAAAAACAAAAAAATAATTCGTTATCCCAATATATTTACAATACGAGAAACTTCAGACTCGTTTTTCTCATATTACATGTCATGTAACATAGAACCTTATAATTTTAAAGCAGCGATATTTATGGTTACTATCGCGTAGGAAAACATCCTACATTTGTCTCACTGGATTTCTTATCTTTAACTTTCTTGTGAACCTTAGGTCAGTGGGTTCCGGCAGAGAGCATTTTTGAAAAAATTCGTCCACTTTCGGAAGCATCTTCGTTTCAATATATCTCTCACTCATGTCTGTAAAGTGTTTTTTGATTAACATTTATTTGCTAATTAAACATTAAACCTGCCGCAATTAATCAGCTCATTTTTATTTACCTTTGCTTGGAGATTTCACATGTAGAATCAGAAACTTCATCCTTTCTGGTACTGTGAATATTAGTCTGCTGTGACAGTGTTTCCAATGTCGAGCTAAAATATTAAGAAAACCAATAGTTATTTTCTTCAATATTATCGATTTCATTGTTTAAATACCTTTCTTGGTCGAGAATCTCAATTATTGATGAACATGCGACGGATTCTCCATGATCTTCGACATGATTAAAAACGCTACAATAAAAGTAAATTTTTAGAGTAAGGACCATCTAAAAAAAAAGCAAGCTAAATGTACTCATGTCTCAGTTTTTGGAGTTCTTCGACGATGTCTTGTTCTCCTTTTGCTAGCATACACACGTTTTGTATAACTTTTTATTCTTCCCATTCTTATTACACAAACTTACTAAGTCCTAGATAAACACTTTAGCACAAAGAAAGTCGTCAGTAAAGTATGATTATATATATCATCTACAACTATTAATAAATAAAGAATATGTGAGTTGTTTGGTTTAAAAATAGTATTTCTACATTCCTGTAATATTAACAAGCCATTAAACCCACAGTAGGCGGCGATAGCTAACGAATTACTCCGCCAATTGATGACATACCTGTGTTCATCTAATTGTAATCGGACCCTAACTACTAAACGATCACACTAGAACTAAAGCCTTGGTTTCTTTGAACACTCCGTCGCGGAGAGCGGACAGTCCGTCGACCCCTGAGGACTGCGATTTTCGCCCGAGGTGGTTTGTTAAAAAATATAGAAAATGAGACTTTCTCTATGTCTGTACGTGCCGTCTATGTATTATGAATGTAAACGGAAGGTACTAAAATGGATGCAAATAAATTGTTTGCGTTATTATTGTTGGAAGAGGAAGAACAAGAGGAACTGGCAATTGCAACCGTCAAAGTTTCCAATAAGCCAGTGAATGAGTTGTTTTTCTGTCGCGATACAGAAGATGCCTTTAATATCACTGTGCAGCGGAGGCTTTTTGGAAATGAAACCAAATTTAGGGAGTATTTTAGACTTTCTACAGATCTTTTTGAATTCGTGTTGAGTTTTATAAAGGACATAATTTCCAAGAAACCTAAAAATAAAGTCATGATGTCATCTGTATGTGTGAATTTGTCACTCATTGTTTTAAAATTAATAACAATATAGTCTCCGCACACGCCGACGATTCCGCTGATATCAAACTCAACCGATATCAACCGACTCTTCGCGACAAATCAGCGGCATGACGCCGTCCTGTTCAGCTAAGCGGATTCAAGAAAACCATTCCCATTTAAATACTCTGGTTGGATAAAATCATCAAAACGCGACGGTTGACGGACTGTCCGCTCACCGCGACGAAGTGTTCAAAGAAACCAAGGCTTAACGCGTACACCACCAAGCTATTTATTAAAACGCACGGCCATGTTAAGCCTTGGTTTCTTTGAACACTCCGACGCAGTGAGCGGACAGTCCGTCGACCGCTGAGGACAGCAATTTTCGCCCGATGTGGTTTGTTAAAAAATATAGAAAATTATCTTTCTCTGTCTGTACGTGCTGTTTATGTATTATGAATGTAAACGAAAGGTACTAAAATGGATGCAAATAAATTGTTTGCGTTGTTATTATTGTTGGAAGAGGAAGAACAAGAGGAACTGGCAATTGCAACCGTCAAAGTTTCCAATAAGCCATGGATGAGTTGTTTTTGTGTCGCGATACAGAAGGTGTCTTTAATATCACTGAGGCTTTTTGGAAATGAAACCAAATTTAGAGAGTATTTTAGACTTTCTACAGATCTTTTTGAATTCGTGTTGAGTTTTATAAAGGACATAATTTCCAAGAAACCTAAAAATAAAGTCATGATGTCATCTGTATGTGTAAATTTGTCACTCATTGTTTTAAAATTAATAACAATATAGTCTCCGCACACGCCGACGATTCCGCTGATATCAAACTCAACCGATATCAACCGACTCTTCGCGACAAATCAGCGGCATGACGCCGTCCTGTTCAGCTAAGCGGATTCAAGAAAACCATTCCCATTTAAATACTCTGGTTGGATAAAATCGTCAAAACGCGACGGTTGACGGACTGTCCGCTCACCGCGACGAAGTGTTCAAAGAAACCAAGGATTAATACCTCTCGCTACTGTTGCATCGAATGCATCTGGACGGGATTTTGAGCTTCAAGGGTTGATCGCCAAGCGGCTGTACCGGCCGGAACAGTTTTATGCATTTTTGTAATTTAATTTAATTAATTTAATAAAATTCAATTATTTTTTCACAGATCGCTCTAAAATCTTGTCCTGAATGTCGGAATGCCATTTTTTTAACAAAAAAAAATTGGCTCAAATATTTTTTTTCTTAATTTACAAATTTAATTTTTTTTTATCTAAACACATTTTATAGACATTCCTGGATTGTTTTGTGAAAATCGCGCCTCTTAATTTTTTTTTTTTTTTTTTTTAAAAAGATGGTCCAAATAAAAATAAAAATGCTATTATTTACGATTGTTTATCGATTGTTTATCGATTCTACACAAAAATAACTAATGTATATTTAATCTCAATACCTAAAAAATATACTGACAATTAGTTTGACATGATTGTGACTTATTCAAAAATGTAAAAATAATAGTAGTTGGTTGTCCAAAATATGAATGTGATTGGTGGATTTCATTTTTTTGCAGTGTTCTCAATACCTAGGTTGGATATGAAATATATTCGTTCATTTGAACGCAATGACATACTTTTTCGTTTTGTAATCTGTGTGTAGATAAGCTAATATCTTTGGAGATGTAGAAATAATAATAAGTATTAAACGAAAAGTCAATGTTGCCATTTTTAAACTATATGTATGCTTGAAATACACATTCATTCGTCTTCTTAAATGACCAAAACTATATTCCGAATGCATGGTGTGTATTCAATGTCTAGAACGGTTTGAATCGCGTCGTATTCTACGATTGTCTGAACTAAAATGTTGGTAAAGTAGGGTTTGCCGCGTATATTTGAAATTTCGGCTTGTATTTTATTTCTTAATTGTCTTCGTTATTATATTGATTAGTTAATTGATTTCAACGTGATTGTATTTGGTTTTAATAGAGTATTTGCTTAACTCCTAGAAAAAATCATATTAAATTTTTGTATTATTTTTTAAACTTTTATTTTTATTATTCTGAAAATTACATTATTTATATTGGCGTCAGCAACTGCTCTGATTTATTTAAAAAAAAATGTCTACCAAATCTTAGTTTATCTTAGTATAGTTTTCAAATTTATTTGGAACTAAAATTAAATGCAATTAAACTCTCGACTTAATTTGAAAAACTAATAGGAAATAGTTGAATATCACATAATTTTGTTTTAAGTATGAACAAATTAAGAAGAGAAACAGAAGAAGCTGACGCAAAAAAGAAGAAAAAAGAATTTGAAGAAGGCGAACATAATCCATCCTATGGTTACGGTGGTAAATTTGGCATAGAAAAAGACAGAATGGACCAATCAGCAGTAGGACATGAGTATGTTAGTAAAGTAGAAAAACACGCATCCCAAAAAGATTACAGTACAGGTTTTGGTGGAAAATTTGGAATACAATCTGATAGAATTGATAAGGTTAATTGCCGTTTTTTCAAATTTGTTTACTTATTTTACTTCAAAAAAAGTATATTACAAAATTAGAATGTCTTTACCAATTTTAGAGTGCTGTTAGTTGGGATCACAAGGAAAAAGTTGAAAAACATGGTTCTCAAAAAGACTATGTTGCCGGTTTTGGAGGAAAATTTGGATTACAAACAGACCGGCAAGATAAATCAGCTGTTGGCTGGGATCATGTTGAAAAAGTTGAAAAACATGAGTCGCAAAAAGGTAAAATAATAATTTACCAAAATAGTAAATTATGAAATTATTTTTTTTTTTTTTATAGATTATAAAACTGGTTTTGGTGGCAAATTTGGTGTCCAAGCAGATAGACAAGACAAATCAGCAGTTGGGTGGGACCATCACGAAGCCCCTCAAAAACATGAAAGTCAAATCGATCATAAAAAAGGTTTTGGGGGCAAATTTGGGATTCAGACTGACAGAGTGGACAAATCTGCTGCTAGTTTTGAGCCTCCTTCTAAAGTTGGCACTAATTATACCAAAGTTAAGCCTGATATTGGTGGAGCTAAGCCTTCTGATTTGAGAGCCAAATTTGAAACTATGGTAACTCAATTTAAATATAAAAAATAACATGCTTGAGAACTATATTAAGAGCAAATCAAACCTCTCATGAAAAGCAAAAATGTGAGGATTTTCTAACAAAATTATATTTATATGCGCGCCACTGGGAATACTTCGCGATGTTATGTATCTCGAGAATATTGAGAGGTTTAAATTTGTGCATTTAAGAAAAAAGGTGGGAAACCCTCTCATTTTAATTAAAACTTCTAGATATTTATTAAAACAAAAAGTAGCAAATTTTCATAGAGTTAATACAGAATGGAACCTAATAATTTTACTTTTAATTATTTTCAAAAATTATTAAAATAAATACTTTTCTTAGGTTTACAAAAAAATCAAAGTTTCTCCACCAGAAATGAACTAAAAATAAAGGCTTGGAAGGAATTAGAAATTTTTAATTCGTTCGGTTTTCTCTTAAGATGTCCAAATGAAAATTTAATATTGGATTATTTCTGGTGTGTTTGAAGATAAAAACTTGATATTTTGGGTGGTTGTTTAGGATGTAGGGGAACAATGAACAGTGTATTCCGTAGCACCCCATCGGGCTACCCTCCACCCCAAGCAATCCCTGCTCCAAGATTTTAAATGACACCCAAAATATTGAAAGTTGAAGGTTTAAGATATCAGAATTATTTCCGAAAAATCATAAGTTAGCCATGGAAGCACTTAAAACAAGAGTTCGCTGTCTCATTTCAAAACTGTAACATCTCAAAAATTTTAGGATTTGAGATAAGAATGTATTCTTATAGCAAGTAGGGCAAAATCTATACATTTCAACACATATCTCAACAGCTTTTGTTTCTACATTTTCTTCTACAAAATCTTTTTAGATATTAGCGTTAAACTGTACAACAGATCATGCCCTCCTTGCTAATAATACATTCTTATCTCAAATTCTAAAACTTTTGAGATGTTATAGTTTTGAACTGGGGCAGCGATTTATTCACATTTTACTTAAATGCTTATAATGCTCACTGGTTACATTTAAACTAAAATTAGTCTATTTTTAAAAGCATTTCTAACATTTTCAAACACTTATGGTGTCGATATTCCTGTTATTCTATTACGCAAATAAGCTGGAAGTGGTTGGCGGGATCATCAGGAAGTGTCATATTCAAGGATTTAGCTTAAAACTTCTGAAAACGAGACGTCGGACAGCTCAAAGTTATAACTTTTTTGTGAAATTCGAGGAAAGATGGGATGAAACAAGAAACTGCAGAGTTGCCAGGGAGCTCTTAAGTTATCCTGACAACATTGCAGCTAACAAATACTTGACTATGACTAGACATAATCTGTGCCTAGTCACAGACATTCTGACTGGTCATTGCCAAGTACAGAAGCATCTCCATATGGGGCTATCAGAATCCGCACTCTGCAGAGGGTGCGAATAAGAAGATGAGACCATCGAGCATATCCTTTACGATTGCTCGATGCTCTCATGCATTAAAAGATTTATGTTCGGCGAGTATCGGCTAACACCGGCCGATATAAGAGAAGCACCTCTTGGCGACGTTGTCAACTACATTAAGGGCCCTATTCAGTAATTTATCGTTTATGGACGACATCGTTAAGCTAACGACAGTTCAACCAACGACTTTTATAACGATAATTTTTGAAACTCTATTCAATAACAAAGTCGTTACGTTGTTTCTAGTTACCAAATTTGAACGATGATTTCTAGTAAGTTGGTATTATAATTTAGTGTTTTGTGATAAAAGAACGTATGTTGATGATTGTACCGGGTGTTTAAATTAAAGTTTTACAGTTAAATATCGCCGAAAATATGCATTTTATAAAAAAAAGTATCAGACAAAAGTTTTATAGTTTTTTAGGGGAAACATTTTGGCTAAATTAATTTTTTTATAGTTGACCATAATATGGCCATATCGAGGTGGATTTTTTTTTTTTTTTTTAATTGGAACTCTATTTTTTCATAAAATAATAAGAAACTTCTAAAGGAAACATTTTTTTATTGGATTTCTACTTATTGAGTAACACCCAAAAAAACTATAAAACTTTGTTTTTTTTTTATAAAAGGCGGTATTTAACTGTAACCCTTTAATTTAAACACTCGGTATATTTGAGATTTTTTTGGAACGTAAAATAAAAATTCTACCAGTAGATATATTCATTTGTTTTTCAGAATATATTAATTATTGTTCTTAACCTACAACACGATCAGGGGGTCGATTCTCGATTCGTAGGAATTCTGTTTCTCGCAGGCCATTTTTGCTGGTCGTATTGTATGTAGGGTTTATTTAAATGAGTATGGATATATTAAAAAAAAACAGAACTATTCCAAAAGAATACAAAAAACAACTCGAGACAATACAAGTTGTATTTTTTATTGTATTTGAAAGACAGACCAAATTTGTGTAGGTTACGGAGAAGTATTATAGGTACTTCCGTAATATAGGTTTTGTTACTGTTTCGCAGTGCTACTTTAGGAACAGCACTGTTAATAAGAATCCAATAGTAAATGGTTGAATGGGCAATCCTAACTTTGAATCCGATTTATTTTTAAAATAATTAAATAAATTAGAAAAAAATTCCTTACAAATTGTACTTGCTGTATTAGGTATTAGATGGCAATTTAGTTGTAAAATTTGTAAAAAAGTGCTTTTATTATTTAGAACACATCCTGATTTACAATGAAAAATGAGAGGGAATGCAAAAATCACTATAACGACACTTCATATATTATTAACGACAGCTCTTTGGCTATCGTTGATGAACGACAATTTTACAACCATATTTGTCTATTTTCAACGACAATCGTTGTCTACTGAATAAGAAAAGTCGTCTGTGAACGATTATCGTCTATTAACGACGTCGTTCAGAGTTACTGAATAGGCTCCTAAATCTGTAGGCTGGTTCACGAGCTAGGAGGTGCCTATCATCTTAGGAGGATGCACTGAGGTCTAAGTGCCGTGGGGTAACCCACCCTCCACACGTTACAGATAAGTTACAATGCTATAAAGATTTGAAACATATCCTTTTACAATTTTCTTAGTCTGCCAAAACAGTGGTTCTGTCCTAACGGTTTATTTGATAAATTCTGAATGTTCACAACTTGGAGCCACTCAATTGCGAGCTACTACCAATACTTGCACTATCAATAAGCTCTCTGTTTGTACCTATAAATATCTAAATATCTGTTATACAGAAAAACATTGTCCTTTCGTTTATATTTTTTTCTTTTATTTTAAAACTGCATTTATAATAAGTTTTACATTAAACATTAAATTATGTGGTACCCATTTTGCGGTCTTATTGTCTCATCGAAAATGACCACGTTCATTTGAAAGGTTGGATTCCCTTCTTCATGACAAGGGTATATTTTAAATATTAGATACTTGGGGTAGCCATGTGTGAGTTGGTTAAATGAAAAGGTAAAGAAGAAAAAATTCCTCTGAATCTTACAATATGTATTTTAATGTGACCAGTTTCGAAGTTTATAACTTCAATTTCTGGCACGCTTAGTGGGTAAGAGAAAACAAAAATGGTGACTGAAACAATGATTTAGTTTAAGAATTATTAACGATACTAATCCACTAATAATACTAATATTTATTTATTAATACTAAAAAATTTAACCATATTAATATACTAACTAGAAGTAGGTTAATTGGAACGATTGTTATACCTAGTAAGAAAGGTTACGAAATAATTGAAAAATATTGAAAAAATGTTGAAAAAATAATAATAAAAATAACTTTTAAAGACAAATTTTCTTTAGGGGCTCCAACTTTATACAAAAGGATAAAATTGACATCTTAGACTTATCCGAGGTTTACAAATTAAGTTGCAATACTTGCAACTAATTCTAAAAGGTCTTCACAAGAACATACCACATATTCCTTGGACCAAAATAAGCCGATTTAAGTAAACTTACCTTAATACAAAGTTGCTCAGTTTGGTCGCTAGAGTGCCCTGAAGTTACAATTTTTAAATAGTTTCTCCATTATAATTTAACAGGTCAACTCTTAATAGTTCTGAGAACCTAGAAATAATGAGAAATCTTAAAACCTGCCCAAGGAGTTGTTTGAATGCACAGATTCAATTTGTATTTTCACCGATTTTCTTCACATTGCTGGGATTATTAAATTAATCGTTTCTTCAACCCTTCTGATACACAACAAATTTTGTTATTCACCCTTTCTTTGTTGTCTCAACTTTTGCTTACTACTAAATTACCCTTTGGTTAATTTTTTCAAAAGTTCATTTTTTCAAAAGTCAATTAGAAACATGCGAAAAAATTATGTCAATTTTCATGGTAAAACCGTCAAAATCTTGAAAAAAAAAATCGTTTGGGAATAGAATGCCAAACAAAATAAAAAAAGTAAAGAAATTAATTTATAAATTGGTGGTATAACACAGGATATATTTGAAAAAATTGAGAATATTGTAACCTCAAGTTTAGACACACCCTGTAGGCATCACAGCAAATAAATGAAACGTTTAGTCTATTAACATTAAAAACTATGTGAAAATAACCAAATCTATCTACAGGGTGTTTGGTTTCAAAATCTGTTTGGTTTTCCCCTCATTTATAGACCTACCATATATATTTAAGATTAATTGTAAAATATGGTCTTACAACTTTTGTATTAAACATTTCTTCATATCTCCAATAATAAAATATCTAGCGATCAATTACCCACTGATGGAGACCCTGTATATTAGGGTGGGCTAAAAACAGCAAAAAAAAATCGATTTTTTAAAATATATGATACAGTAGTGCAAAAAAGCTTTGATTTATGTTTGTAAGTGCTCTAAAAAAGGAGCCAAAAGGACCAATGTTTGTTTTTTGTTTTTTTAACTTCAGGTACCGAAAAAATTTTGATAATAGCGTCTTAAAGCTCCCATTAATAGTTTTTTAAAAACAATAATATTTAGCCGGGCCCCAGAGGGTATAAAAAGGCGTATTTTGCAGCGGTCGCGTAATAAGCTGAAAGCCCTAGTTGTATGTGCAGCATTTTGCATGTTTTGATACTTTTTATAAGCTGACTATTTTGATATTAAATAAAAAGAAGAATAAAAATTATTAAACCACATCAGAGCTCACCGCGTGGAGGTAGCTGCACCCTGAGCTCCAGCCACCCTTCCACTCGTTATACAAATTACTGTCTTGTGCGTATCTATTAGGCATTCCAACGACCTGTCCAAATGACTACCAGTGGGGACTGACAGTTTAGATATGGCAACCCTGTTGTTATTAACAGGGTCAATGATACATATATAGTTATATAGATTGCTCAAAGCTGGTCGTTTGCGAGCGGCCATATTGCCTGGCAAATATTTATTAATTTGAATCGGTTTAGCAAAAATGTGTTTCAAAACCAATTTTCAGCCTTTAGATATTTAAAAAATAATAATTGCTTACATTTTTACTTCAAGGCATAAGCTTATGCTTATTTTGAAAAATGTAGATGATGCCATAATTTTGCCATATTTCAAAACCCACTGGTAGCCATTCAGTTTGGAATGCCTGATTGTTCTGTAGTATTGTCCTTTATTCTCAAACAATATTTTTCTTGCTTCCAATTTGGCTCAATGATAATTGTTTTTTTCTCTGTAATAAGCTGTTGCAAGCAATTATCTGAAAGTTTCATTACTAATGGCGGCTCTGTAATGGTACATTTCTGCCAGTCAGTAAGATTAATGTAATCTTCACCTTCAAAATTAATTTTAGGTGTTTGTTGCCTAGCTTTCAGTATGGTGCGAATTGCCAATTCTCTTACGAAGATCAAACATCATTGCCAATAATAAATTTTCCGGGTGTGAAAAATAAGCATTAGTTGACACTACTCTTTCAAAAATCTATTTGATATTTGTTGGCAACTCTCTAGATGCTTTAACTGCGTGCCAAAAGTGAATTTCCCCATATTGTAGCTCTGGTGTTGTCTTAATTTGAAACCACATTGGGGCGTAAACCTTTAAAATAAACGTGTTGATATATTTAAGATTATCAGAGGGATTGTCAGTAGCTACATATAATCGTAGAAGTCCATTAGCGGATTTTAATTTGTCAAGTTATCCGCAATAATTCCAATACTAATAGCTTAACAAATTTGATATAAAAATTGTTGGTCCGTGCTTAAATCTGTCTCTGTAAGTTCCGGAAGTCGTGTAGTAATAGGTTCAAATTTTACCACTGGCATTTTTTTGCAATCCTTAAGAAGTATTTCTAAAGGCCCCGAGAAAGAATAAGGCCCTTTGGTATTGCCATCCAACTCTTGTAGTATGTGCCTTAGTGGTAGTTCATTGGTATGGAGCATACAAATACTCCAATATATGCACTTCTATTTTTCGAATGATACTGCCAGTATTAACATTTGTTACATCACAACCAAGGACATCCAAATTTTCAAGAGATGTATTCTGTTTCTGTAAGCACGATAGTAACCCTTTGGTTATTTCTTCAGCATTTCCTGCAGTTTGTAGCGAGTCGTGTCCAAAGTAATTCCATTTTTTTGGAGTGTAATTACGATCTGGATAATCTTTATCGCTATACTGGTGATAGGTATACAGAGACCCTAGGGCCTTTAGAACGATAAAATTTGGCGTGTGTACTTAAAAGTACTTGGTAAATCGATTTTTTACTTCCGGAAATCAAAATTTCAAGAAAAAAAATTCAATTTTTGGGGGTTCCTGGGGCCCGGCTAAAGATTAAATTTTTTTGGGCATACATTAATAACAGGTACACAGCTTTTTAGGACTACGTTATCTTATTTTTCGAAAACTGGATTTTTCGGCCCACCCTACTGTATATGTATAATTAAAACGCTGTAAACCACAGCTTAGTCCTTATATGAAAAAGTATTCTAGTGATAAATACAGCAACTGAAATAAAATACAGGGTGTTCCGTTTAAAAACATGTTATTACTTTCCAGGCAAAAGCGTAACACCCTGTATATCCAAAAATGTTTTCAAATTATATTTTTTCAAATCCACATAACTTTTATTCAAAACATGTGTCTATAATACAAATTAAAATATCAAGCAATTATGCACTAATGGGACAGCCTGTATAGAACTACGACGAGAGTTTACGTATTTTTTTCATCCTTTCAGACTTCCTTTTAAGCTACTCTTGATTGTTTTTTTTTTTGACTCCCCGCCTTGAATGCCTTCCCTACAAGATTTTGACATGCTGGTTGCAACTTCATTGGCTAATTGTATCACCATTTGGATACCCTACTTCTTTCGATTTATTAATTCCTCATTTATTCCACTCCCTAGATAGGCTTCCGAGAACTTATAATTCTCGGGTCAACCATTCATGAAGTGCTTGACTACCTTGATCGATAAATGAATTTATAGGTATACAGTCAGCCAGCGGAACGGTAATATACTTCTTTGACATCAGTACTTGACATCCTATAGAGGTCTATATTCTTTTCTTTTTTGATCTTAAATTGTGTCCGTATTTATAATCACCCTGTATATGTAATAGCTATTCCCCAGAATTAATTTTTAGATTTTCATTGCCCATGACGGTAATACGCTAGTTCGGTGTGATGTCATTTTGATTCCACTGACATTTAATTCTAACCACACGTTTAACAAAAACATCAATAAATTTGACATAATCGTTTTTACTGTTTTTAGTTTATTTCTAAATATTGTTTACAGGTCATAAAAAATAGTTTAAAGGTATGTAATTGGTAACTAAACGATTGTATATTTGATGAATGTTATCTACTTACTTTAGGAATATATTTATAAAAGTGAAAAAACGATATAATTTAGGTAAACAAAACGAACAAAACGCACTCAAAAAATCTACTGTCACTTTAATTGTCAGTGGAACCATAATTACATCATCACTGAACTAGCCTATTAACGGCCAGAGCGTGTAGTTGGCATTAAAGCTTGGGCAGCGAAACCGTTAATGTTGGCTCAACAAATCCCTACATTTTAAAATAATTGTTTTTTATCTTGTGCTGTTTAATTTTAAATTATTTTAACCCTGACAAAATGTTCAGTTCATTTTTCGCCTTTATAACTATTGCAACTTGTAGTTTTATCCCCTATTGGATAAGAGAATATGGTGAGTTTCTTCTAGTTTTTTTTTATATTACTTTTGATTATTTTTTTCAACATTTGTTTCAATTCTTTTGTAACCTTTTTATTACGTTTCAGTTAACTTACTTCTAGTTAGTATAATAATATGGTTAACTTTTTTAGTATGAATAAATAAATAAATATCAGTATTATTAGTGAATTAGTGTTGTTAAAAATTATTAAACTGAAACATTGTTTCATGTTGCTACCGATAAAAATTTACCAATTTTCTTTTTCTCTTACCCACTAGGCGTGCCAGAAGATGAAGTTATTAACTTCGAAACCGGTCGCATTAAAATACATATTGTGAGATTCAAAGGACATTTTTCTTATCTATTCTTTTGTTAGAAATAAAATTAGGAAAGTGATATTTTAAATTTATCGATTTCAAATATCTTGACAGAATTAATTGATTTACTGTATAATTAACTTTAGGCACAACAAAACAAGTCGGATGTGCAAATCCCATATTCGGCACCAAGGAAAATTGTTCATGCCAAAGCTGTTCTATTTTCAAATAACAACAAAGAATCTACAGCAATTGCGACTCCAGATAAAGTTTCTACACCCAAACAATTTGATCAATCGAAAACCTCATTTTTGACCCAAACTGAAGAAGAAAATAGAACTGTTGAAACTGATAAAGTTTCAAAAACAGTTACTAAACTTGATCAGTCCAAAACGGCATTCTTGACCCAACAAAAGGAACAGCCTGAAAAAGTAATTGCGGAGGAGAAAACTCCAGAACCAAAAAATTTAAATGAATTGAAAATTGCTCAATTGACTCAGGATGAAGAGACTGAAAACAAAAAACAAGAAAGCATGGTTAGTATAAACGATCTAGTTATGTGTTCGGGTAAATACATGTTTTGTAGATGCAAGAAGAACTGGAATTGTTAAGACAACTGCAACAGCAGAAACAAGATGATGACGATGAAGATTCAGATGAACAGGTTTATGAAAATTTCGACACTTCTACTATAAAAAGGGCTGGAGGCCATCACATAGACCAAGTAATACTTATTTTAATAATTTAATTTATAACATAGTAATGAGTTTTTGTAGGTGCCAGCTCCTATTGTAGAAAACACACCTTGTGAAGAGACTGATGAATATAGCCAAGAAGAAATTGTTGATACTGGTGTAACGGCGATAGCTCTTTATGATTATCAAGCTGCCGCAGATGATGAAATATCCTTTGATCCTGATGATGTAATTACACATATTGACAAGGTAATTTGAATATTAAGAATATGAAAAATTTGCTTCATTACATGTGTTATTGAATTTTTTTTATTCCAGATAGATGAAGGTTGGTGGAGAGGTTTGTGCAAAGGACGATATGGGTTGTTTCCCGCAAACTATGTACAGTGCGACGATTAACTTTAAATATGCTACAATGGCCTGCGTACTTACCTGCTTCCAAATATTTTTAAGATGGATTATATATTTTTAAGACATTGCTGTATTATTATTTTTGTATATGTACTCGATTATTTTTAATGCGTATTATTTTAATCCTACTTATTTTATATTTTGATTGTTTTAATATTTTATAAAAAAAAATATATATTTTGAAAATTGAATCCATTTTATTTTCGATATGGAACGGGAGATAATATGGGACAATCTGTAAAAACTAAAAGTTCCTAATGAAATCAAGTAATTAAAAGTAAATATGAGTTGAGTCAAAATCAGTGACGGATTTAAATAAGGAAAAAGTAACATTTTGTCTAAATGGATTTTACGTCGTCGTCTCCAAAACTGCGACTCTGATTATTTTCTGTGGGATATTCACATAGAAATAATATAGAAGACCAATATAAACATAACATTTAAGCAGAAATTGAAACCTACTGTACATAAAAACGCGTCTCTGCGCCTGACTTCGCAAAATAGTGTGTCTAGAAGCTTGCGCAATATGCATGACTTGTCCCTGTAGTGTTGCCAAATATATTAAACATACCTAACAGAAAAGAATTTTAAATTATATGATTTAAACAGTTTATATCTACGAAATATCGCCACAAAATAACTTATACACATTTAAATAATCAACTAATAATATTTATGTGTAATTACATTCCCAAAAATATATACAAATACCGTATTAATGTCATTAATACCGTATTTTTAATGTTCAATAAGCGATTCACCTACAAATTCAATATTGACCTGGCAATAGCACTAAAATCCGGTGTTTCAAGGCTATATCACGCTGCCCTTACATGACCGTTTGTAGTTTATTATTTATGCCGCGTTTGAGAATCCACATCGGATGCATCTGAGATGTAGTAAGTAGTAAATCTTTGATCACATGATTCAGTATACGTAAATGTAATGGGACAGATGTGTCCGATGTGGATAAAAAACGCTCGAGATGTAAAAAATGCATCCGATGTGGATTCTCAAACGCGGCATTAATTACACGATGAAAGTGGCATTTTATTTTTAGTTTTGTGTAGTGTTTAGTCAAATCCTAGGTACAATAAAAGACATTTTTATTAGGCAGCTGTTATATTTATTACAAGATTTATGTCTGCAAATCTAAACCTACCTAAGAATTATAATTATGTGAATAGAGAGCTGTATATTTATATACAGGTTGCCCAGCGACGGGGAGACATTATCGATATCGGTTTTAAGGCATTTTAAAACATAAACCCGATCTCAACAATCTTAGGAACTTTTCTGTCACTCGATATTTTAATCGGTACTTCCTCTTCGCTTTTTGGCTGGCCCAACAATTATTTACATTTCTTCATTCCTTACCGCGTTCGAACCAGTAAGGTTTAAAGAAATTTAAAAAAAAACCTACTTTAAAAACAAAGATGTTAATGATTTTCCTTTTCTAACAAAAATAATCCTAGAAATCGGGCAACGTGGTAAAGAATTATCGCTCAACATACATAAAAAAATATTTCAACGAATTGAGAATATCCTACCATTTTGAAGTATGTTAAAAAAAAATTGTTAATAAAGTGAAAAGTAGGGCATGAACATATATTATAATATACTTTATAAAGTATATAAAATGATAGATAAATCCAGTTTAGAAGGTATTATAAATAAACTGTGGAAATATCGAGAATCTCGATTTTGAATCGGAAAAATATTCTACGCAATTTAGTATGAAAGCTGATCAAAATGAAACACATGAACGACAAACTGTTATTGACAACTTTCTTCAAACGTTTTCTATTTTTCCGAAAACTAACTAGATAGTTCGAAAATCATTTACTTCGTTAAAACGCCTCTTGTTCCGAAAAAGGTACACGCCTGCCAACATTCATCGTTCATTAAAAAAGTGGTAGATACAAAATATATTTAGAAATCGAAATAGTCATATAAACAAAAAAATCATATGAGTGAGATAACTACCAAATTAATGATTTACAAGTTTATTCCTATTATTTATAAAATAGGTTTGCAATGTGCTGGTGTGGAATGTTATCATCGACTAAAAACTTTAAATCTTTGTATTAAATTGATCGAAAATAAACTATATATTGGTTTAGGCTATATAGAATGTTTCTAGTAAGCAGCAACTAATTTTTATTATGGAACCGAAAGACCCTTTTAAAAAGGTTCAAAATTAAAATAAAATATGTACCAAGTAAATGTAGTAGTATTTTTTAATTTTTTAATTTATATTGAAAATGGTAACATGAAAGGTTTTCTGTCTAACGACTCATAGTCTCGGCTGACAAAATGTAAAAAAATATCGAACATAATATTCCTGGGCCCTATTTTGCACTCACCAGATTAAATTTAGTTGTAGCAAATGATATTATCAAATAAGATGTCAAATCACAAGCAAAATCTCGTGACTACAGTACTAATGATTGCGTGTTTGGAAAAGTATCTTTGTTTGTAAATATTTATATGCATAGTTATATTTAAATGCGCGAGTGTAATGTTAAGTATAAACAAAATCCGCCCATTATGAATATTCGTTTAGTTACCGACCCTAGTAGATAGGCAATTTGTTATTGTTTTAAGTTTTACCGTAGGGAGAGAGAAAATCAATATTAGGATAAATGGTCCAGCTCCTTTCTGGTTACGTAGGTACCTAAAAAGTATTTTATTTTTTGGTTAAGTAATTAATTATTGTAACAGTGATTTTCTTGTGATAGTACCTAATTTAGATTGTGGATTAAAGTTTTTGTATATAATTTCGCTGTTTAATAATAAACGTAGTCAAAACCGGAGCACGTGGTTTTTCTGGAAAGTATTTTTAAAATCACAAGCAAAATCTCATGACTACTGTACTAATGATTGCCGAAAATTAACTAATTCATATTTTATGCCATATCTTTCTTAATAAGGACTGTCAGAACCATATTTACCTTAACTTGAAATTTTTTTAATCGTTTTTTGTATAGAATCATCTCTAAAAATGTATGATTGAAATATCGTGCGAACTATTTGTTCGATCAATAAAAAACTTGCACCGGTCCTGTTCGCGCCAGCACCGTTATACGCATGAGCTCCGACACACTATTTTCTCCTTATGGTTTCATTTTTGATATATGGAATCGGCTTTCTATACTATTTCTATGGATATTCAACAAATAATAATCACTAAATTCCCAACAGTTATTGATTATAACTAACTCGATTTAAAGTACAAACGAAACTGAAGTGGGAAAGCAAGCATTTAAAAATATTAAAATGTGTTTCCCGAAAAAACAATACAAATAAGGGTTCCATGAACACCTCGATACACTTCACTAACACAGTGGCGTAGCGATAATTTATTCCAATATAACACATTTTCCAAATATTTATATTAAACATTTTTGTACATTACCAATTTCTGTAGCAACTGTAGAAAAAAGTTTCTACTCTATGGCTTTTAAAAAGATTACCACATTTTGAAACATAAGATCTACCATGCCTTAAAGATTTAGCTTTATTGTTTAAATTTCGCAATATAATTGTGTTGGCTCAACTTAAGCATAGCATTCCCAGGTTATGTTTATGCATAAGATAATAATACTTGCATTCAAAGCTAACCTAGCATCAAGACACATTCAAAGAAACTCCCATCTACCATCCCTTGAGTAACAACTGTCCTCTCGCTATAACACAATAGAATCAAAATACATTCCCCGTAGACAATAATAAAGTCGCCTACACCAACCAGCCTAGTAACAGTAGAACACTCAATCACATATTCTTTCAAGTCGTAGCATCCTTCTTTGTCTTAACTAATAGAATTAAAAATATTTCGTAATCAAAAAGCCTTACTAAAGAAAGGAAACACAGAAACTACGAGTGACCATTTCCCTCTTGAAAACAACTACTCCTTTGGCTAATACCGTAACAAGCATTGCATTATAGTAGAACCTCGATTATCCGGGCCAGCCGGGACCGAGCCTTTGCCGGATAATCCAAAAACCTATTTTATTTTTTTAATAATTTATTTAGACAAATGCTTATGGTCAAAGGAACAAAACAAACGTGATACATATAACAAAAAATAAAAGTTTTAATATTTATACAAAATGAAAGAACGTGCATTGAAATTAATAATACATATATTGATATGATACCCAATTCAAAACTAATTTGGTAACGTATTTTTTGTTGTTAAAATTGATTAATCAACGTTTGATGGGTCATGATTCATGATCTATGAATTAAAATTTTTGTAATCAACTTGCTTTCCGTTTTCCCTGCATTGATTTTTATTTTGTTTTTGTAACGTTGTTTATAGTAATAAATAACTTTGAAGTATTTTATTTATTCAATTCAGGATACGGATTCTTATGTGCGTACTCAACACGTAACGAATCGAATAGAGAGACATTACATATGAATCGCATTCTGTGAAACATAGTCGTCTCAACACGTGCCGTATTAAACGATGAGAATACCAATGCTAATGTACATGTGTTTACCACATACTTAAATAGGTATACGGCGTAAAACCCTCTGCGCATCTTTACTGAGTGTTTAATAAAAGAAGATAGAAATGACCGCCATTTTTATATAAACAAACTGAAACTTATGCAACCAATTTATCTTTCCATCTGTCAAAAGTGTCAAATTTTAATGTGTTTGTGAATTTGGTTAAATTTTTTTGTGTTCTTTTAGAATATTTTCATTGTGGATATTATTTTCTAAGTGTATAAACGTTTTATTTATTTTACCATTTGTGAATAGACTTTAATCCCAGTATAAGTTCTCTATACTGGGCTTTATTCAAGATGTCTTGTAAGATTTTGGAAGGACATAAGAAAACTATTGCCAATAGATTCAAATGTTACATTCCACAAGTAAGTAATAAGATTTAGCAAAAATAAAGGATATGAAAGAAGTGCCTTTATATTATTTTAGGGTTCCAAAACAAGCAGATCGTTCCTTATTGTGGTTATCTGCCATATAGGTAGTGATTGGACAAAATTTCTTTTAAGTTAGTACAATTCACTGCAGAATCAATAAGGACGACCCGTTCACTAAAAATTTGTAGCT